GCAATTATGCTGAGTCAGGCTTGATTTTTAGTAATCTTTACCTGTTAAATCAATCAAGTCAAATAAAATCAAATCAAACTCACCCGACGTATTTATCCACATCTGTCCTGGTTAAAGCTCCAACAGTTTTTATCAGTCAGATTCCTCCGAAGACAACGCCTGTTTTATCTTCATTTTTTCATAGTTTGACTATCTTTATAAAACTCTGCTTCCTGGTAACAGTCGGCTCTGGGAGAGAGTGGTTCTCTTTTTTATTTTACCGAGCGGAACCATCAGAGCGCTTTCAGCATAAACATACAGGCCCACGAACTTCAGACCAATCACACATTACCGTCGTCGCAGAAGGGGGGTAAAAAGTTCTGCCGGTGGGTTGTGCCAAAAGGGGCGGCCAAGCCGACGCTGCGAACACCGGTTACGTAATTTTTGTCATGAAACTGCCACAACCCGTGCCGACGTCGGCAGTTTGGAAGGAGTATGAAGAGGCCTTAACTTGTCAAAGAGACATTATCTTTTTCTTAATCAGATAATAAATAAAATAATTTTTTTATTTGATTTATTGTTCTCTTAACTGAAAGATATTACGCATTTTGATAATCAGAGAATGTTTATCAAAGTTACAGGAGAAGAGAGGACAGATCTCTTTTCTCCCTCAGTATGATTTCAGCTATGTATGGTTTTTATGTGCAAAAATCTTATTTAACAAATCTAAACTTTATGGTTTAAGTTGATGAAACATCAGTGTTTTATTTGTCTGAATCATATTTGCAAGTGTTTGAATTTGAAGCAATTCATTCTTTCAGTTATGTTTTTAAATAGTTCTCGTCAGATAATAAACAGGTCATGATATGTTTTGTTCCTGAACTACACAGTAGCAATAATCTTTGTTTAGTGTGTGCCCCAGAGCAGCTGTGGCTACAATTGTAGTTTGTCACCATCAGTGTGTGAATGTGTGTGTGCATGGGTGAATGTCTGTAGTGTGAAGCGCTTTGAGTGTCCTGGATGGATAGAAAGGCGTTATATAAGTACAGTCCATTTACCATTTACAATTTAGCTTCAGGAGGAGACGGCAAATCTCTGAATTAACATTTTCCCTGATATCTTCCTTTCCTAATCTACCCTCTTGAAGTCACTAACAGTTTCCGCCCGACAGTCACAGTCAGACCCGACAGTCAGAAGCTGCGTTTCCATTCACCATGAAAATGTGCAAATTAGAATTTCGAAAATAAATTTGCTCAATGGAAACACGTCAATTTGGAAAAAAAAAATTATGTTTTTCGACAAAAGGTTTTTGCGCTAGGATGAGGTGGTTTTTCGGCCGTATCGAAATTGGTGTTTTTCGCAAAACTGCAATGGAAACAGTTTTTTCACAWCACAGGAGTCACGTGATCAATGACCGTCTGTTTCCACTGGTGAAAAAGACGATGATGAAGAAGATAACAGGAAGTAGAAGTAGTAGTAATATCACAGAAGTAGTATAAAATAGTAAACTCAGCGACTACAATTTCCCAAAAACACAGCATACGTAGCCGCTCCCAAGTAGGGACTTGTCTCTGGAAAGCCTCGATAAAAGACGCCGACGTCTCCTCTGATGATGAGCGCTAGTGTCGTGGTAGCAACATGCTATGTGTTTACATCCATCGCTGCCATGTTTGTAATGACTTATCATGAGAACAAACGTATTCACGTGACTTTAATAACATTTCTTACTTAATGAAAACACAGCAGTAGTGAAACTGTGTTTTTCGACATTAACAGAATATCGACAAAGTTTTGCGCACATTTGCAATGGAAACGCAGCTAATGTCGGAAGGCTGTTAGCTGTTCCCCTCCGGGAGGACTAGCGTGTTGGCAGAGAATTTCGTCCATAAGCCAAAGGACAGATCTCTCGGCCGGGCCACATCAACTCCTGGATGTGAGCCAAATACGAGCTGAACGCTCACAGCAACTTGTTTTAAAATCTTCCTGGCGGAAGTCTTATTTTGAAATCGGGATCCAGGTTGGGCTTCGCCTTTCTTCCTACGGCTTGATGTGGATGTACGCATGTGCTGGAGCTAACACGCTGGGAGTGTTCAGCTGAGTGGACGATCCTGACGGGTTTTCTACTAACTGAGAGACCTCCCCAAATACCTGGACAGGTGACTGACCTTATCTTTAAAAGGTAAAAGCTGGCTGTTACATCAGCATCGCTATCTGTCTGACACTGAGCAGAGAAATGCCTTGCCACTCTGGTTAACCCACATTTAAGATAAAATTTAGAAAAACTAATATCTTATTTTTCCTCCTTTTCTTAAACCTACCTTGCCAAACTTAAGTTATTTGCCTCAAATGTCTGGTACTCAACATCTAAAGCTTCATGATTGTGTTCTATTTAAGTGCTTGATTGACAATAAACGAAGCTCAAAGTGTGCTTGTTATTGTTGGTTACAAACTTTTATAGGAAATTGATTGCTCACAATTAAGCGTACTGTAGTGATTTTGTTTGATTATGTAAAATAAACAATCATGTTTATTTATGGATCAAATCAAAATTTGCTGACTAAGAGTCACTTTTATGTGTCCATTCACTTTGCATGGGAAGAATATTTTACCGAAAATAAAATGATCCTTGCTAAAATACTTTCCTTATAACCTTGTTATAAGAAGTGTAGGTGTGAAGCCTACAGTGTAAATTACAGACAATCTGTTAATGTGAGCAATCATCAGCACCTGTCATCCTCCAGACGCACGACGGAGAGAGTGTCTGAGCTGGCCAATCTCTTGTTGACATTGATCATCTGACTGATTTAAATACATCTTAACATTCATGAGGTACTTTACATTGACTGTTYRTGGTTGAGTGTGGGCGTGTAGAGGGTAGAACCTGAGGAGGACCTTGTGCACAAACTCTGAGGTGCAGCTGTGATTTATAAAGGAAAATTGCTTGAAGATGTGTGTGCACACGGTTTTATAAATGTGATTTTTTGGGGGGTTTGCCATTTTCACCTTCCGGTCGTACGTTCACTTTTAGTATGAATTCTACACAATCCTTTACAAATGAGACCCCTGTGGACCAGCTCGGACCTCAGAGCTTAATTCCAATGATCATTAGATGTAAGGGACCTGGAGGACACGAGGCTGCAGGGGGTCAGACAGGTCTGCAGGAGTCTGTTCATTCAGGACCTTATATGTCACCAGTAAAACTTTAAAACCAGTTCTAAAACAAACAGGAGAGAAGCAGCACAGAGGACAAATGTTCAGGGTTTATCATTTGTGTTAAAAGATGTCCACTCTGTCCACCCTTTCCCCTTTTAACACGGCTCACAAGGTGGGTGTGGTTGGGGGTTAGAATACTGGTTTTAGTGTATCCTGTGGATTTGAAGTTGACCTGATCAACCATTAAGTTGATCAAACTTGTTATAGTAATCACCTGGTGCATGGCCCCTGCAGGTATCAGAACAGAGTCTCCCAGGAACTGAACCACAGTCCAGCCTTGGACTCCGTGTTCATCCAGCAGCCTCTGGCGCTGCTTCCTGCTCAGATAGGACAATCCTTGGTCTCTGAGTGGATCCTTGTCTGACGGCAGGTTCAGGCTCTGCTCCTTGTAGAGCTGGGAGGGCAGGGGGTGGAAAAACAGCGTGTGAGAGAGAAAAAGAAATACAGGTCTTCAGTGTTTTCAGGTGAGCACCAACCTTGTGCAGGAATTCTCTGACTATGTCCATGTCTTGGTTGAGGTAGATGTGCCACAGCGCCCCCGGTGTTTCACTGGAGTCTTTCAGCCTTTTTCGAACACCCTCATCAAGATCCTCTTCCTCCAGACGCTTCAAAACCCCTGCACACACAGAACCAAACCTTTAGAACATTTAGTCTGTTCAAAACTGCTGTAGCATGTGAGTTTCTGTTTCAAATAAAAATTCTGCTTTTCTACATCCTGTTGGGGAAAAAAGGATTCCAAAGCTTCAGCCCGAAATCCCAACAGAACTTTGTGATGATCTGAGGCAGAGATGGGGACTCGTGACTCAGACTTAGATTTGAGTCGCACTTAAGTCCCTACTATTAGAGACTTAGACTTGATTTGACTTGGACCCTAAAGACTTGAGACTTGACTTGGACTCATGGTTTGAGACTCGTGAACCCGGCTCATGATTCTTACTCCCTCATTACACATCCATGCTACGCTCCCACTCCCCTGGGAACAAGAGGGGCCAGTGCTGTCCAATGTTAATGAAGCGTACCCTACGTGACAAACAGAGCTTCAGCATGGCAGGTGCACAGAGTTGTAAAGTAACTAAGTACAAATACTTTGTTACTGTACTTAAGTAGAATTGTTAGTTATTTGTGGAATAAATTTCATTACAGAAAATCTAACTGCTCATTTTAAATCAATATTTTTACTTTCATCACTTAAAGAGATCCCTGATTAGTTGTAACATTAGACTTTATTTGATAAACATATAATTTAGCTGTAAAATAAAGACTTTAAAAATACTACGGAGCCCGCGAGGGGACATGGGGGATGTCCTGATGCATCTCAGTAATCCAGGTAAAAAATCAAAAAGAAAAAAATTGTATAGGTCTTCTGGACGGGTTCTTCTCTAATGAAACGTTT